CTAAATGCCGCTCCTCTGTCTTCATAGCAGTCAAAGAGACTGAAGTTCCCACTGTGGGTCAAAATAATGCGCTGTGATGTGCAGTCGACACGTTGGATGTGATCCGAATGATCTAACGCAGCCTCCACAGTGTTAAGCTGTAGCCCACCATTTAGCTATCGCTGTTGTTGTCCAGGCGTCTCCCCGGCAAACTTTCAAGTGTGGTCTGCCGCAAGCGAGCGGCAGGAGCGGGTCTGTCAGCATCTGCTGGGTGCTCGGCTTGCTGTTTAAAACACCTTTTTTTGTATCCATATCTCTCGCTAGAATCTCCCACCATCCAACTAACAACAACAACAACAACGTCAAGCCTTTGGGCTCTGAAACTACGGGGAGGGCCGTGGACAAATACACATGCGTTAATCGCACGTTAAAATAATTAGTGGCGTTAACTTGACAGCCCTACTTTGAATGCATTACCCATCATCCTATCCGCCTACTTTCCTCCACACCTGTGTTTTCTCTGTTTCCCTGCTGTTATACATTTATTTGCCACCTGCTTCTCTTCAGATAGAGTGCAGATTACACAGTTGTCTGCAATGTGCCTCTCACTGTGTACTTTAATGTTGTTTCTCGACTTGCTAATGTATTGCACACACATAATGATGTTGCACAGACAGGGGGTGGAGGAGCTGTGCTACAATAGAGCATAAGACAACAGGCAGCACTTGGTGATGAGTTTTGTAGCGTCTTCCTTCCTAGAAGATGCTGCAAAGCAATTATCGCCTGTACCCAGTGTTGATTTTAAAAGCCTTTTTTATTTAGTCTTTGTTCTGTCAAAACATCCTTATCATTCGTTCAACCTCCTTTAGAATTTGCAGTTCTTAAATGCGCCCTATTGTGTTTTTCCAAATATGCTTTTCACACACTTCCCCCTCTGCCTAAAACGCCTAGATTGGACTCCTTTGTTTACTTCTGTAACAGAGTGACACCACTACGTAACACTCGCGCTTCTATTGGCTAGCGCTCCAACACATTGTACGTTAGGCAAAGGGGCGGGACATATCTAAGCGGTTGACCAATCACACAGAGCCGGCCAGCTAACCAATCAGAATAGACTGGGCTCTGGTGTCAGACAGAGGGTGAAAAGAGGTGCTGCAGCATGAGAGAGTATGAGAGAAATAAAGAGCTTTTTGAACATTAAAGCATGGAGACATGTCCCAGTAGAGACACTAACTACATACAATTATGAACCAATAGAGTAGCATAATACGGCCCCTTTAAACTACATTTTAGTCTAGTCCTTTTTTGTCAACAATATTGTATTTTGATAAGAGCCCTGTAAGTATTTAATGACACTGGTTCTGTCTTATCCTCATCTCTCGACGTATTTAGTCATACTCTTCATTAACAGAAATGAGCCCTGCTTGTCCCCTTCATCCTTCATCCTGTAATCACGTTGACTCCTCTGTCCTCAGACTGAGCGGACGATGACAGAGCTGGAGATCGCTGTGAACCAGCGCGTTGGGGAGTGGGAGGTTATCCAGGAGTCGGGGACCACCCTGCGGCCCCTGTTTGGCCCCGGTGTGACTGGCATGAAGAATCTGGGCAACAGCTGCTACCTCAACTCTGTCATGCAAGTGCTCTTCACCGTGCCAGACTTCCAGCAAAAGTGAGCACCCTCTTTTATACAAAGCCCCCATCCTCCTGTTACTCCCAGCTGTTAGGCTGAAAACAACTGTCTTATAAAAGACAATGGAATTATTTTGGCAAATTTCAATGGAAATAATATGAAAAACTATGTTTAAAGCTGGCTATTACAGCAATAGGGTTGTAATAATTATTCCTGATTGGTTGAATATTCCTCTAACAACACTGTCCAGATATATGTGTAAAATACTGAATGCAAAGATTTATTTCATATCCTTCAACTCACGTCTTCCAGGTATGTGTCCAACATCGACAAGATCATTGATGAAGCCCCAAGCGACCCCACCCAGGACTTCAAAACCCAAGTGTGAGTGTCTGCCTCTTTTATAACTAGCTCTTGTGTTACTGTTGGATGCCTGAAAGCCCGCTTCAGTGGTTTGTGCAAAAAGAAAAGAACCCCGTTTGATCAAAAATTCCAAATTCCAAAGCGCGTTCTTTTTCAAATCTCTTCTCACTTAAAACAATTTCTATGCAATCAAACACTCATCATACCCTTTTTCCCATTATATCTTGAAAAAGCTACCATCTTAGTAACAGTCGATGAAAGGAGCCATCCACTGAAACACACTCAAAGTGGGCCAGTTGTCAGACACACAGCTGATGACAGATTCCTTTCCAGGCAGCTCCATATTTAAATGCGTCTCCCTCTCTTCTTTTGCTATCAGAAGGGTTTAGTCACACTTATACTGACACTTGGCCCCTTGTCAGTTTAGCATTATGTCTCTTTTTGTGGAAACACAAGTGAATCCTTAATTTGGTGTTGCTCATGTGTGTCTAACCCAGTGTTTTTCAAAGTTGGGGCCGACCCTCCGGGGGGCCGCCAGGGGCCTCCAGGGGGGGTCACGCAAAGTTTGAGGGAAAGAGGAATTTTTTTCTTTTTTTAAAGTTACTTTTTTTAAATATCTATCAATCTGTGTGTCCTCCTTTGATGCCAATCTTTTAATATTTTTTATTTATTAATATTTTATTTTATTGTTTTTAAATCACGCGACCGCCCTTCAAGCCAATCAGAATCGAGCTCCGCTACTGAGAGTGAAACTGAGTATCTGCTCAGCTTTTGGAGCAAGTGAGAGCGAGTGGATATTTCGCTCTGCAGCTGGATGAGAGCACGGATGTAGCAAATATTGATGTTTATATATATGAATATAAATATGTTTATTGTTAATATTACTGTTGAATATTATATATAATATTATTAAGGCATAAGTAGCTTTCAAAAATGCTAAAAATATATGTTAATCGTTCATATTACTGTTCAAGATTATATAATATTATTAAGACAGAAATCACTTTAAAATGCTTTAAAAATATGTTTACTGTTTAATATTGTAAGAATGTTTATAACAGAAGACACAATGAATGTAATGAATGACAAACAAAAGATAAATACAATTTTTTTAAATTATTAATACAAATATATATATTAAGAAAATGTATTCAGCTGTATGATTAATTTGTCGTATTTTCCATCATAATGTACTCATCATTTTTTTTTTAATTGCAACTTGCAGGGGGGTCCCCGCCAGAGGATAATGCTATATGGGGGCCCTTGGCATGGCAAAGTTTGGGAACCCCTGTCCTAACCAACAACTTGACTTGTCACTTTAACGTGGCACAACTGTCCGATATAAGATGATAAGACTATATTAATCAATATAATCGCGTGTTTTGAAACAGAAATATGTCAGATTTAATTATTTTCTTTGGCCAAACAATCTCTTGTTTTGTTGCTGTCCAAAAACGTCCACACCCAACAGAGATCTCCTTCCTGATTAGTCATTCCAACAAGCTATTTGAAAGCCAAAAATACATGTAGGCCTTTATCCAAATCCTCCTCCTGTGTGTGTGGATGTGCAGTGTTGTCAGCTTTGTTTTCTTTTCCACAGAGCCAAGCTCGGCTACGGTCTGTTGTCAGGAGACTATTCCAAACCAGCACCAGACCCTGCAGATGAAACTGGTGCATCTGAACCCAGGGTAGGAAGAAACAGCTGATTCACACTTCTTAGCTTTGTCTTAGATACACTATATAGACAAAAGTATTGTGCCACCTACACATTACACCTAGCTTTCATGACATCCAAATTCTTAGGCATTAATATGAAGTTGGAGAGACGAAATGTCACAAACTGACTTGTTGAAACGGTGGCATCCTATTGCAGTAGCACGTACAAATTCACTGAGCTCTTTAGAACGACCCATTCTTTGGAAAATGTTTGTAAAGGCAGACTGCATGGCTAGGTGCTTGATTGTATACACCTGTGGCAATGGGACTGAATGAAACAACTGAATTCAATGATTAAGGGGAGCGTCCCAATACTTTTGTCTAGATCAGGCCCTACAAGAGCTTTTAAAGAATATAATATGTTTATTATACGGTTACATGCCGATTTACAGAAGCGTTGCCCATAAACTACATGTCCCACAATGCACCTCAAATTTGACTTTTATCTCAGAATTTGACTTATTTTTCGAAATGTTACTTTTTTCCCCAAAATGTCACTTTTTTTTTACTTTGTTTTCAGAATGTGGAAATGTGTTTTTTTAAATCATTTTGTGACATTCTCACTGAAGAGACTTGCAATTATTTCCCTTAGACTTCTGCTTTCAGACGTAGTTACTTATGAAGTTATTACCCTATCCCATAATAATCCAATGCATAGGCAATAATGTAATATAATGTATTTTTATATAGTCTTAAAGTTACAACCGGCCCTTTGAGTGCAACCATTATGCTAATGTGCCGTGATGAAATTGAGTTTGACCCCCCTGGTCTACATGGTGTATAAGCCCTCCCCCTTGACACATCTAACTGTTTAATCTCTGTTCGCAGGGAGACCAAATCGGCATAGCACCTCGAATGTTCAAAGCACTCGTTGGGCGAGGCCACCCAGAGTTCTCCACCAACCGGCAGCAGGATGCTCAGGAGTTTTTATTGCACTTCATAAACATGGTGGAGGTAAAGTAACACACTCTCACTCTGCTTCTCGTTTTTTTATGGTCACCAACTGTTCTCTGTCTGACATTAGCATTTATTTTCCCCCACAGAGGAACTGTCGCACTGGGTCCAACCCGTCTGAAGCCTTCAGGTTCCTGGTGGAGGAGAGGATTGTGTGTCAGCAGTCGCAGAAAGCCAAGTACACACAGAGGGTGGATTACATGGTGCAACTGCCAGTGCAGATGGACCAGGCCACCAACACAGGTGAGGGGAAACAATGTCCATAGGCTAGAGTTAATGTTTTTCACAATAGATGAGAGTAACACCTACGTCACTTCCGGGTGAAAATTACGGCCCCGCCCACTTTTTGGGGAAAACAACAGGCGGAAAATAATAGTTTTATCATGCCAACAAGCTGCTGTGTCGTTTATTGCACCTCAAACATTAAAACAAATCCAGAGTTCAGTGTCTCTGTACTTCCTCTAAGAACAAAGGACAGTAACAGAAGAGCTCTCTGGCTTCAGGCTCGATCGCCGTTCAAATGACAGCGTTGGTTTCCCCCAAAAGTGGGCGGGGCCGTAAAGTGACCTGTTACTCTCATCTATGGACATCGATCGCCTACTGCTATATTTAACCATATATCGAGCCCGATCATCGATTTCCAATGATTTAATGTAATTGTTTGCCTGACTGGCCATCGCTCTTTGAAGATCCAGAAATCCACGGTTTTCTTACATTTCTGATCGGATTGGCAAAAACTTCAGAACTTGTATTGACCGCCATTCAAAATGTACGGGGCGTACTTTTTGCCCGGAAGTGACGTAGGTGTTAAACTCATGTATTGGAATACACTATACACTTTTTTTTCCAACATCACCCTAACCCTAACCCTCATGTAAAAAAAAATCCCCTATTGCATTACTTTTGTCTCTTGGCATCTCAAACCAGATACAAAAAGGACCAGAGATAGCTCAGCATTGAATATTTATGACAAAACATACTCCAAAGTTATCATTGCCATTCATTTCTTGAGGTATGACGGACATCTGTCAACTTTATTTCTCCCAGTTGCATTTTTAGTGTAACTGTGATTTTTTTCTCAACCTTGTGCATATTTGTCCAACAGAAGAGCTTCAGGAGGCAGAGCGCCGGCGTGAGGAGGGGGACAGCTCTGCCCCCACAGTGCGAGCTCAAATCCCCTTCACAGCCTGCATGGCGGCGCTGAATGAACCCGAGGTGCTCACAGACTTCTGGAGCTCAGCCGTGCAGTCCAAGACTACTGCCACCAAGTATGAAGACACACACACACACACACACACACACACACACACACACACACACACACACACACACACACACACACACACACACACTGAAAGGGATGTTAGATCTTAAAGGTCCCCTATTATGCTAATTTTCATCAATATATTATAGGTCTCAGATATATACAGAGCCTGTCTCTGATTGGCTGAAACACCAAACAGATCATTGCAGCATTACCCATAATCCCCTATGTTTCAGCCCTGTTTCCAAAGTGCTGATTCTCTGTCTGTTACTTGAGATGAAAATAAGGAGCCCCTCCCCACGCCCCTCTGAGAGAGATTTGGTTACAAAGAACACAATGGTGCTCTAGAGGAGATTCAGGTGATAAGGTGGGGGGGGGTTACCTTGGTTGCTGATTGGCTAATGGTTACACAAGACAACACATCGTTATGACATCATAAAGTGGCCAAAATCTGATCAGCTCATTTTCAGACAGGTTTTTATAGAAATGGATCAAAAAGAGAGAGAATCTTTGTTCCTGAAACTTTCAGAGTCTCTTTCCACAGAGGGGACACATGTTGATGTAGAAGAGACATGAAGAAGAGGGGACACATGTTGATGTAGAAGAGACATGAAGAAGAGGGGACACATGGTGATGTAGAAGAGACATGAAGAAGAGGGGACACATGTTGATGTAGAAGAGACATGAAGAAGAGGGGACACATGTTGATGTAGAAGAGACATGAAGAAGAGGGGACACATGTTGATGTAGAAGAGACATGAAGAAGAGGGGACACATGGTGATGAAGAAGAGACATGAAGAAGAGGGGACACATGTTGATGTAGAGGAGACATGAAGAAGAGGGGACACATGTTGATGTAGAAGAGACATGAAGAAGAGGGGACACATGTTGATGTAGAAGAGACATGAAGAAGAGGGGACACATGTTGATGTAGAAGAGACATGAAGAAGAGGGGACACATGTTGATGTAGAGGAGACATGAAGAAGAGGGGGACACATGTTGATGTAGAAAGAGACATGAAGAAGAGGGGACACATGTTGATGTAGAAGAGGACATGTAGAAGAGGGGACACATGTTGATGTAGAAGAGACATGAAGAAGAGGGGACACATGTTGATGTAGAAAAGACATGAAGAAGAGGGGACACATGTTGATGTAGAAGAGACATGAAGAAGAGGGGACACATGTTGATGTAGAAGAGACATGGAGAAGAGGGGACACATGTTGATGTAGAAGAGACATGAAGAAGAGGGGACACATGTTGATGTAGAAGAGACATGTAGAAGAGGGGACACATGTTGATGTAGAAGAGACATGAAGAAGAGGGGACACATGTTGATGTAGAAGAGACATGAAGAAGAGGGGACACATGTTGATGTAGAAGAGACATGTAGAAGAGGGGACACATGTTGATGTAGAAGAGACATGAAGAAGAGGGGACACATGGTGATGTAGAAGAGACATGAAGAAGAGGGGACACATGTTGATGTAGAAGAGACATGAAGAAGAGGGGACACATGTTGATGTAGAAGAGACATGTAGAAGAGGGGACACATGTTGATGTAGAAGAGACATGAAGAAGAGGGGACACATGGTGATGTAGAAGAGACATGAAGAAGAGGGGACACATGTTGATGTAGAAGAGACATGAAGAAGAGGGGTCACATGTTGATGTAGAAGAGACATGAAGAAGAGGGGACACATGTTGATGTAGAAGAGACATGAAGAAGAGGGGACACATGTTGATGTAGAAGAGACATGAAGAAGAGGGGACACATGTTGATGTAGAAGAGACATGAAGAAGAGGGGACACATGTTGATGTAGAAGAGACATGAAGAAGAGGGGACACATGTTGATGTAGAAGAGACATGAAGAAGAGGGGACACATGTTGATGTAGAAGAGACATGAAGAAGAGGGGTCACATGTTGATGTAGAAGAGACATGAAGAAGAGGGGACACATGTTGATGTAGAAGAGACATGAAGAAGAGGGGGACACATGTTGATGTAGAAGAGACATGAAGAAGAGGGGACACATGTTGATGTAGAAGAGACATGAAGAAGAGGGGACACATGTTGATGTAGAAGAGACATGAAGAAGAGGGGACACATGTTGATGTAGAAGAGACATGAAGAAGAGGGGACACATGTTGATGTAGAAGAGACATGAACAAGTGCATAATAGGTGACCTTTTAAGATGCCTCGATTAACTCCATCTTTCGTCTCATTTGTCAGAACGACCCGCTTCGCCTCTTTCCCCGATCACCTGGTCATCCAGATTAAGAAGTTCACCTTCGGCCTGGACTGGGTGCCCAAGAAACTGGGTGAGCAAAGATATTATTATTATTATAGGATTGTGTTCAAGCGATCAGTGCTTTTCTTTCTCTACACAGAAGATCCTGAATTGGAAATCCACTTATCTCACATTAGCAGATAATATTGTCTGAAGGGACTTGTTTGAAACTCCTGTTACTCATGCAGCAATAATGTTCAACAGGCTCACTGTTATTTATACAGTTGTCTTTCATAACGTGACAAAATACTTTCTCTTTCTGATCGACTGGTGTCTTTTGCCTCTCATGAGCTTGTGGGTGTGTTTATAGACTTTTACATAAATACCTAACAGATTCTGATTACTTCCTGTTCCTACTACACTGGCACACAGCAAATAGGTTCATTTCCAGAGAAATCTATTGGCACACATAAAAGTTAAATCTTAGATCGTGGAGCAGAGATCAACTGTGTTTCCGTCTTGTGGAAAATCAAAGGCAGTGCGATTGTTTATCTCCTGCATTGTTACAACCCAAAGTTGGACATAGGGGTGAAGGGTGTAACAAAACACTATATGAACAATATGAAGTGTCATTTGTCTTTTTTTCAATATTATTTTGACGGATGTAGAGGCGGATTGTTGCCCATGGCCAAAATAATAAAAAACCTGCCATAAGTATAAATAAAAGCACAATAGCTGATTATCTACTCCAGTTAACGTTTTCAATCTTAAACATAACTCTAAATTAGGGATAGGCAACTTGGATGGTGGTGGGGGCCACATCATTTATGTACTGGCCACCAGGGGGCCGCAGATTCACTTGGAACACACACACACACACACACACACACACACACACACACACACACACACACACACACACACACACACACACACTCAGCGTTGTGGCTTACCCCTGAATTCAGTGAAAAGATATTCTTTCTCCCACTTGTTTGGGGGATTTTCCTCAGACACCTTTCTCTTGCTCATGCCGACATCCACAGAGGGTCGCAACGGCTCATTTAAAAATAAATATGGATTTGTGAAAAAAATAATAGTTTTTCGGGGTTCGGGTGTTTTTTAAAATTTTAAATAAACAAAGTCTTGGCTTTTAGAATATGAAACTTTTATTGCCAACATCACACGATGAATACATGTTTGAAGCTTGTAAAGGGAAGAAGACAGCTCTCACTCGCACCCTGCTGTTCCTCAGCGCCGCCCCCCCTCCCTCCGGCTCACATTATGAATGTAAGCGTATAGTAATCATAGATAACACGGCAGGGTCCGTGACAGTTTGTTTTCATCTGATTTCAATTAAACAAAGTCTTTCAGAATATTAAACTTGTTTCGGCAAATTCAGATAATAAATACAACTTTGAAGCTTCGGCATAATTACAAGCGGAGAACGGAGTAACTTCACGTCACAGCAGGCATAACAACAGCCGGTGTTTCCCGTGAGTGTTTTCCCCGAGAAACAAACACGATACACACAAACGCGTCACAGATTATTTTGCGGTATTTGGCTGCCGAACGAAATCAAGTAAAAATCGGTCCGCCATTTTCCCATCCCTGCTCTAAAGGCATGAGGCAGAAACAATCCTATGCAGCCAACACACTAATCTAATTCTGGTATAATATTAATGACATTAGTGCCGCCTAATCTTTACCTGCAAAGTGCAGAAATACCTAATTATGAGACATTCAAAACATTTAAAAGTTGTATTTAAATGTTGATTAGATTCCGAATGATTTCCCCTAGATCCCTGCTGTGGGCGAACAGTAACAAGTAACAGCATCTCAGAGGACATTTGAACATTTCTCACCCAGTTGTACATCATTATAATATTAAAGTGTGTTAACCAACCATTTGCTCTAAAGTGAATGATGAGTTATTAATGTGTAGTTTTTCTTTCTATACAGACGTGAGCATCGACGTTCCCGACACTCTGGACCTGAGCGCGCTGCGAGCCACCGGTCAGCAGCCGGGGGAGGAGCTTCTTCCAGAGGTGGCTCCGCCCCCTCTCATGACCCCAGACGTGGAGGTTAAAGGTATCCTGGGTTTCCATGGCAACGAGGAAGACGACTCTCTCTACTCCCCACTGCTGTGTTAGTCTGTCTGGCGTTTTCGGCTCTTCTCCCCCCCCCCCCCCTCATCTCTCATTTGTCCTCCCTCGTTTCTGCCTTTTCTGTTTCCTCACATCCTTCTGTTGCCATGGTTTCTAACTATTTATTCATTTTCACATCATGTCAAGTGATTCTAAAGTCATTCATTTATATTTTGTTGAACATGAGTTGATTTTTCTGTTTATTATTTCATTATTTCGCCTTTTGTCAGCATCTCATTTGAAACGTTTTTTTTAACGTGGCAATAGACAAGTTGTTTTGCTTTATTGTATCATTATGTAGTAAATGTTGACTGCCAGTGTTTCCGCCAGACCAGGGCTGAGAGGGCGTCCACCCCGAGAGCAGGGGGGGGGGGGGGGGTTGAGACGTCAAGTCGTGTCACGTGACTTGAATTTTGAATTGAGCCGTCCCTTATAGATACTATCTCTTTGCGTATTAGTGATGGGGATTCCGGCTCTTTTTAGTGAGCCGGATCATTTGGCTCGGCTCACTAAGAAGAGCCGGCTCTTTCGGCTTCATTTGCATTAAGCTAAGTAGTTGCAGCACACGAGGAGAGGGAGTCCACTTAGTAAAAGAGCTGTGGAAATGAATGGGAATTAATTACAATATAATACACTTCATTGCTTTTTCCTGACGGTCTGAATAAGGCTTTTAATTGGTCGCCATTAGTAGCCTTTGAGGAAATCAAAAAGCGATCAAGTCGTTTTTGTGAAACAGTAGGAAAGTTGTCTATTGCCATTTATTAAGGAAACACAAAACAACAATGATTTCACATCGGTGTTTCTACACAAAGTCATTTAACTTTTCCCTCTCCACACATCCAGCTCCAGTGCTCGACGACTCCACTGTGTCCCAGCTTTGTGAGATGGGATTCCCCCTGGAGGCGTGCAGGAAGGCGGTGTACTACACTGGGAACACTGGGATCGATGCTGCCATGAACTGGATCATGGGCCACATGGATGACGCAGGTGTGCAGAGAGAACTCGCATGAAAACAAGTCATCCATCAATCTGATCGCTCCTCTCACTGTCTTTACGAGCCACAATGTTGATTTACTATTTTGATTATTTAATCGTTTAATCATGCGTAAAATATTGATTGACGCTGTGATTGCCTCAGCTGGTACAAAAGAGTCCTGCTGACGATATTCTGCGTTCATTTTGGTTGTGAAACCATTTTGACCGCTGCACTGCAGAGAAAGTTGTTTATTTTATGTGACGTAACTGTCTCCATCATCGACTAATGTACCGAAACAAGCAAACAATATATTGTGTGTGGATGTATAATAAGAACTGGATACAGCGTGGGAGGCGGGGTCTCGTTCATTCCTATGAGAGCTGCTCATTGGAGCATGAAGACAAAATGGCCCAACTTTGAGAGAGCGAAACGTCACGAAAGTATTCATATAATCCGTTCTTATTGTGCATCCATGGGTAAAGGTCAAACTCATGTAGTACTGAACACGTCACATGAACGTGCCGGGCGGCGCGGTCCCGTGGGTTAGATGCGCGTTCATAATGCCGAGGGAAATAACTCAGAATAACGTTATTAGCACATTTTACAACTTGAGGACCGAATGTTTTTAATAAGGGCTATACAAGTGTTCATACTGGGTAGTTTAAAAAAAATTATCGAACGATTTACAGACGTCTCTTTCCCAATGTTAGTCAATGGGAAAAAGTCTTTCCGGGCCCAGCGACTGATACGGAAGTGTAGTACCGCCGTTTGGCCACAACGAATATTTTCCTCGGAGTCCGGCGCACTTCCTGGAGGCTTGGTGAGAAGTGGGAAAGATTGCTGTTTTACTCTCACTCATGTTGTCCTCGCTCTGATTGGCTGCAGACTTCGCCTCCCCCCTGGTGATGCCGGGCTGCAGCTCCGGCACCACGCCCACTGAGAGCCTCTCTGAGGAGCACCTGGCCACCATCGTGTCCATGGGCTTCAGCCGGGAACAGGCCACCAAAGCACTCAGAGCCACGGTGAGAATCATACACTTTATTTTACATGGTGAACGAACAAACAAACAAAAGGGGCAAATAATAAAGTAAAAAATGCAATAAATAGCAGCCCAAAGTGCTTACAGAACAAGAGGTAAGATAAAGCATCTACCGTGATCCTAATGAAATTCCCTTGAATTAAAGCTGACAAGAAATTAAAATAGGTTCAAATGAATTATTAAAGACCGTGGTACCGTTACGCTCCGACATTATCAGTCTTTTTATCGGTACTGGAGACATCTAAAAAAATATGTCATGTATTATTGCTACACAAACATTATATTGCAGTTTTAGTGTCGCCAACTCCGTTTCTAATACGCAAAAAGACTGCAAAATGTGTCTATGATGTATTTTTGATCTTTCCAATCCAGACGAGATCTCTCTCTCTCCCCCGTCTGTGTGCGAGGGGGCGGGGCAGTTTACACACACAGCTGCTACATGCATGACACACACACGCAACACTCTCTCACATGCTGCTACATGCAACACACACACGCTCTCTCTCTCACACGCAGCTGAAGAGACTTCCAATGATTTGCCCCAGACTTCTGCTTTCAGACGTAGTTAATTATTAACTTATTACTAGTGATGGCAAAATGAAGCTTTGAATGAAGCGTCGAACCACTTGGACAATTGTGTCGGAAATAGGTTTATTTCTCGAAGCTTCAGTTACAGCGACCTCTCCTGGCGAAGTGCAAGGCTGCAGTGGGTTTAACGTATCTTTGCCTTGAAAAATATTCGATGCACACACACACACTAAGACTGAATATCATGTTCTATTTGCAATTAAAGATTGATAATTGTGTGTATTGGGTTATTGAGAAGAGACTAGAGAGTGCTGGAAAACACTTTGGGAGGAGAGGGCCTTTTATCAGTTATTAAAGTTGAAAAGCAATGATTAAAATACGTCCATTCCGGGCTTTGAACCAGCTGCGCGGAGGACATCGCTGCGCGGAGGACATCGCTGCGCGGAGGACATCGCTGCGCGGAGGACATCGCCGCATTCGGGCCGCCGGCTCTACCCACTGGGCTATCTATTCCTTGAAATATTTAACTGTTTTCATATTACTGATAATTGTCTTTTTGTTCACAACTTCTCCACATTTCGAAGACTGTTTCCCGAGCCAGAACGACCTATCTTTCTTCCTGGCTTGCTCTATAATGATATCAAATGCAATAACAACAACAACTCAACAGCAACAACGCAAACTACGACAACAACCCACACATTGTGCATTGTTTAGAGCAGTCATAAAGTGTTGAAGCGCTCAAATTCAAAACTGTTTCAACCTGTCACCTGTCAGAATCGAGACGAGGCAGTGCATTGAATCGCGTGAATGGACCGCGAACCAGTCAAGTTCGCGGTCATTCAGGAAATGAAGCAGCTGCTGCTTCGGACGTCACATGTCACGTGATTTGAAGTAAGCTTCGAAGCACTGTTTCTATGGAATAGGAAGTCCAGGGTTGAAGCTCCGTTCGAAGCTTCAGTGTCAAACTGCCATCACTACTTATTACCCTATCCCATAATAATCCAATGCAGAGGCAATCATGTCATATAATACATACGTTTTATATATGTATTTTCATATAGTCTTAAAGTTACAACCGGCCCTTTGAGTGCAACCATAATGCTGATGTGGCCCGTGATGAAATTGAGTTTGACCCCCCTGGACTAAGATGTCTCCGAAGCACCAGTATGTGGTTGTGATAAAGAAATCTGCATTAGCTTCCACAGGTCTTCATATTTGCACAAAGTAAACGGTCAGAAATTATTTTTAAAAGATCTGACACGCCTAGTTTGGTCGTTCTTAAAGACTCAAACTAGTTGTTGACCTATATGCCTTCAGGATTTAACTCAAATAACTACTGGTATGTGGTAATGACAAAGACATTTACATTTGCTACCGCAGGTCTTCATATTTCTGCAAATTACACTGTTAGTAATTATTTAAAAAAGATCTGAGTGCAATGTGTCTCAGGACAACACGTTGCAGAAAAAACACGGATAATAACTAGTAATTGGCTTTGGGCTCTAACTGAAGCAACTAAAGACGTTTTTTTAAGGATAATTAGGGTTAGGTTGAGATCTAGATTTCAAAATGTTTCCCCACTTTGTCATTATCACACCATTACATATTAGGAGGACAAAAAGCAGCCGATGGCGGTTTGTGTGACCCTCATTTTAAATGACTGAGATTAGATAAACGTATTTGTTGCCATATTTAGCCTCAGTACCTGTGTCATGTTGAGGCAGAGCCGAGCTCTTTTTATTATACAATTACATTTTCAGTATTCTAGTTATATCATTATGAGATTATCCAACATGTGGCCCCTTTATAGAAGTCGACTCTAATAGCATTTTAAATGCGTTATTAAATTATCAACTCATTGAAAATAAAATGCAGCTACAAGGGTTTAACATGTGTAGAATCTCTCCATTTGATGAAGGCGAAAAGCTTGTAATACAGTTTCAAATTAAATATTATGAGGTAGCAGATAAGACATTATAATTTACAGTCTTTATAAAACATAATTGTTTGGTACATACACATCAAAAAGCACACCATGATCATGTTATACTAAGTACAATGAAAAAGGATAATGATGTAAAAGCTATAATTCGCCCTGATGTCCCAAATTATATTGTAATTGCAATATAAGTCAGTGTATTTATTTAAATGATTCAGGCCTAGCAGCTACCACATAATGCCGTGTAGGAAATGAGTGTCATCCATCTGATGTAACCGCAGTGTTTTTGTAATCTTATTGTCCGCCTGTGAAGAAACGGCATCAGCTCTCGTGGTTCCTCTAACTTGTTCGGTAAAATCCACACTTTCTCCAAAAGCTGAAGTTATTGACATTCTTGATGACGTCTCCTCCTCTTGTTTGACAGAGTAATGTCCTGGACCGGGCGGTGGACTGGATCTTCTCCCACCTGGACGACCTGGAGTCGATGGACGTGTCTGAAGGCGGTCGCTCAGCGGCAGAGAGCGAGGGCGGCAGGGAGCCCCCCCCGCCTGGCCCCCGGGTCAAAGACGGACCAGGAAGTGAGTCCCATCAGAGGAGGCATTACGTTGAGTTAATTCACAAGACATGTCGTGAGCCACGAGTTGACACAGCGGTTGCCAAAACCAATTCTGTAGATCTCTACCCCAGACCCATGTATGTAGCTAGTTCTGAGAGAATAATCAACATTGTGCCTAACAATATATATATATATAACGGAATTTTTCCATTTAACTTTCAGATATGGCAGAAAAAAAGCTCTGTAGCAAACACACACTTATGATACTTATTTGATTAGTTCAGCAGGATAATCTTCACATATTCATTCTCCCTCATTTCTGAAGCATTGATGCTCTCGCCAGAAGTAAAAAGTTAAGCTACAAACAAACGACATCACAGTCACCTGACTTCACGTCACCACCGCTAAGCTAAAGGCGGCTAATGTTCAGCGTGATGACGTTTGGTAGTCTCACTTGGACCCTTGTTAGCAACCACCCTTCTTAAGCTTTGGACCGGAAGTGCTAAAATGCTAACTCATATCCGGGTTTTCAGACTCATTCCTGCACCACTCTGTTTTGTTCAGAAACCTGAAATGTAGACAGCAGTCATCCGCTATTATTACATTTCATATTTTGATCTTATGTACATGGTGTAACTGCGATTGATCTAATGGCTTCCCTCCTTTCTCCAGAGTACGAGCTGTTTGCGTTCATCAGTCACATGGGGACGAGCACAATGTGCGGCCACTACGTCTGCCACATCAAGAAGGATCACCAGTAAGTCTTTCTTTCATTATGTGTTTCTATTCTTGCTATTTCAAGGACTCAATATGTCATTTATAAGTCGAACTGTCGAAACAAAACCTGAGTATGTCACAGTCTAATAGGTTATGTGCTTATTGTTCTCAATCAGAAGGTCATTTATTCATTAAAAGTTGTATTTCTTTAAATCTGTCAAAGTATTCGACATCGCCTCAGCAGGGGGCACCACACTCCACGTCTGCTGTGAACAATAGTTGTTGCTGATGTGAAACAGTGGTTTAAATTGTGCATCAGTACAAAAATGGTACTTTAACCAGGTTTTTCATTTAACTGTGACACAGTTGTAACACTTTAATTTATTTAAAATGTTATATATCTTTCTTCTGGGAGCTCATTGAGTAACTGCAGAGTGCTTCTTACACAAATAAACAACCTGAGATTGCACAAAGAAACCTAATATGACGAAAGCGTTTTTCATTTTAAAACAAGACCCTATGATTTAAAAAAGCGACTCTATTATGTGAACATGATCAAATCCATAGCCTGTCGGTTATGTCGTGGCCCTTTGTGAACCGAGCGATCTCTCTGCTCCACAGGTGGGTCATCTTCAACGATCAGAAGGTCTGCGCTTCGGAGAAACCTCCCAAAGACCTGGGCTATCTCTACTTCTACCGGAGAGTGTCCGAATGAGAGGAACAGGAGCGGTTCACTCGGTGAAGAAGGAGTTATGTGGGCGCTAACACAAACACACAGTTCATAGTCACACCCCACCAAGCTCTTACTGGCACGCTTCACAACTGACAAACGTGTAAATATATCCCTCAGAGTGCACAAATACAGTCACATTAAATCGTGCTGATGTACAGATAAGGAGGTTTTTCCTTTTGATCCGTCGATCTCAAACTAAGGGTCTGTTCAGAGGAGCAGATTTAATTTGTTACCTGGATGACTACGCTGAGAAAACACCTGATATTACCGCGTTTTACTTCCAGATCATTCAGAAAGCCTGTCCCCTGGTACAAGCCTCCCACATCAGAGGGTTGATAACTCCATTCCCTCTTTGCTTAACTCTCTCCGTAATCCACGTCCTGATTTCCCCTCAAAATAAGCCGCTTCCTGATCTTCATTTTTTTTTATTGGACGGTTGCATTTTGGCGTCAGCAGTAAGACACTGACTCCTCCTCCTCCTCCTCCTCCTCCTGCTGCTCCGCGTGTTTCAGTGAGGAAGTTAAAAAACAAACAACCATGAGAGGAAATATCAGTGAATAAATAACAGCTCTAATGTGTGTGACGAATAAAGGAAATAAAAACACCAACTTGTTTTTTCTTTAAGGAGTTTTGTGAGGGTGATCTTTGCAAACATCCTTTGTTACTTCTGCTGTGACAAATAAAGAATTGTCTTTCTGTCATTCTGCCTTGCTTCTTTTGAAAGAGTCGTTGAGGAGTTTGTTTTACCGCTACGATCGATAATAATCCTTCTTAGGTTGCTTTCATGATTTCAAGTTGTTGAGTTGACTCAATCGCACACATCTGTAAGATTTTGTTACAGTTGCTCAATTTTTTTAATTAAAAAAACAAATAGAAATTCAATCAGGAGACACGGTTTTGATGTAAGAATACATATTTATTGCCAGGAATACACAAATGAATGTAATGGAGTTTTGGCGATTAGACCACGTTGTGCAGGAGTATCATTCGGGGGGGGGAGAACCGATCCGATGAAAACCCCCCCGGGGTCTAGACACTGGTGGTGGTGAATGGATAGTTGGCGTCGGTCGGAAGGGGAGGGGCTTAGCTTGACCCTGGTAGTGGTGAATGGATGGTTGGGGTCGGTCTGAAGGGAGGGGCTTAGCTTGACCCTGGTGGTGGTAAATGGATAGTTGGGGTCGGTCGGAAGGGGAGTGGCTTAGCTTGACCCTGGTGGTGGTGAATGGATAGTTGGGGTCGGTCGGAAGGGGAGTGGCTTAGCTTGACCCTGGTGGTGGTGAATGGATAGTTGGGGTCGGTCGGAAGGGGAGTGGCTTAGCTTGACCCTGGTGGTGGTGAATGGATAGTTGGGTTCGGTCTGAAGGGGAGTGGCTTAGCTTGACCCTGGTGGTGGTGAATGGGTAGTTGGGTCGGTCTGAAGGGGAGTGGCTTAGCTTGACCCTGGATTCAGAGGGACAGGAGGTGCAAAGTGGTGGAGGAGGGTTGCATAGAGTCACCTGAAATGACAGCTGTCAGAGGGGAGAGCAGATTTAAAAGTGTTAACAGAGCGCTATGATAGGCTTGTGAGAATAGAGCGAAGTGATTGGTTAAGCTGGGGAGTGACGGTCCCGATAACTTAACACAGAAATAGTAAATGGATTAGTAAAGACGGTCTTCCTGGATGAACTTGCGCTGAGCTTCATTAGAATGAAAATATTTATATAAACAGATTTTAATGTAAAAAATTGCAAATAAAGGTATTTATATGAAAATAAAAATGTATACAAATACAAATAAATAGTATACAATTAATTATATAAACGGAAGTTAAAAATGTGCAAAGAAGACAAAATAAATGCTTTTTGACAATGCATAGCCAAGGGGTGTTTCTCAATGTCGAGGACGCTTCCTTGGTAGCACATGTCCCCGCTCAGAGTCAGGTCTTTCAGAAGCGAGGCAAGAATTCTTCCTAGCCTCGGAAAACGAAGAAATGTGGAACAGGCTAAACAGGTGTGCGTCATATGCGAGGCCTCGCCTTAAATGGAGCGGGATTTCCGCCAAAGATTTGGGAAATTGGTCCGTGCGCAAAGCATTGTGGGATTTTAAGACCGCGGAGGATACACATGTGCAGCCTCGCTATGAAGGACGCCAGGCTCGGTAGAATTCCAAGTAACCTGGACATTGGAATGGAACAGTCCTTCGGCGGGACTCGATGAGTAGCATCCTTGAAATAGTGGCTCTGGAGGCTTCCTCGACATTGAGAAACACCCAAGGTTTCTATTTTCCCTTCCCTCATAAGTCTGTGTTTTTAAGTATGTGGTTGGTGTGAGGTGTTTTTTTTAGCTTGTAATGCTTCTGTTTAATACAGAAACTTATGTTTAGTGTCTGGTTCCCTTTTATCGGGTTTGTACCATCTCCATTTTATCTTATGACCACTTGTTTTTTCAAACCTTTTGGTAATAGACTGAATTGAATTGAACTTTTAAGTTTTTCAACCATGCATAACCAAGGTTTGTCATTTATCAATGGAAAGCATATCTACAAATGAGGCAATGGTTTGTACTGATTATATGTACAAAGAGAAAAAGAAAGAACAACGAAGAACACAAACAAACAATAACAAATGTAAAGGTTTTATTGTCATGTGACATAATGACACTGACCTTCAAAAAACTTACAAAAACTCACCTTCAAACTGGCTTTTAATGTGTGATTGTTGTTTTGATGTTTGATTTTAATGTGATTTTTACTATATTTAATTGTTGTCCTTTTCTTTTTTTACTACCTCTGTAAAGCGACGTTGAGCACCTGTAAAAGCGCTTACACAATAAAGGTTTTATTATAAGCACAAAGCTAGTGTAGAAATGGCAATGAAATTCTTCTGACCTGAGCTCCTCCAACAATGCAACATGTATAATAAAATACAAAATAAAAAGTAGTGCAAACAGTCTATATACATGTCAATGGAGTATGGGATATGTACAAGAACAGAATATGACATTAAATGTAAATTAAGACAAAATTGCAACATATAAATTGTGTATTCGTATTACCACCTTTGTTGTTGACTGTATCTGAAGAGTGTCTTTAGGCCTCATGAGAACGGGACTCGAGGTCTACTTTCTGAGAAGAGCCAGCCCACAGAGATCTGGGGTAGACGTTGGCCTAAAACTTTCCAAACTGCACATTTCTCTTCACTTCTCTTCCGCTCTCTACGGGTTTTTGCAACCTTGCGCTCTTGTGTTCGTTGCAGGGAAGCACAGGAGACGCGGCTCTGCTTCACATTCAAGGTAGGAACAAGAAATACAGTTTCATCGTGTAAAAATGTAACTCAATTGTATTAATGTTCTGAAACAGCTATACAGTTATGTATCGATGCTGCTATGTTGTATTACCATGTCCTAAATACTTGGGTATTCTACTCTTACACCTTTCTTAAATGTTATGTATTTGTACTGCTGTGTTTGTAATTTTCATTTTCTTAATGTTTTATGTGTACACTTATTTCATGTTTTTACATTTTCTTTTACATAATATCTTTTTTCAAATGCAACACAAAACAGCTCAGACATGACAAGTAAGGTACGTAGATAACAATAAGAAATAAAAACCACTGCACAATGTAGGGATCCCCAACCTCTACCATTCTCAATAACAAAATTAAATTAGATAGTAGTAATTATCAAAAAATAAATAGACAAATACAGATGACGGGGTTACAGGAAAACATAAAAACAGTCAAATCCAAAGTGCATAGGAGCGCTAGGCTGAAGGAGGAAAGCCTCGTAATATGGAAGATGACAGTGTTGGTCCGATTGATTGATTGATTGATTGAAAGCATCCACTGAAGAGAGAAGCATACAAGAGATGTATTCCTTAGGAGTGCACTCCATTACAAGGTCATGCCACCATTTCGTTGTTGGAGCAACCTCCTTGATCCAAAACATCAAAACATTGTTTCTAGCTGCAAAAGTCCATAAATGAAATAGCCTCTTGTGTTTGATATTTGTAATGTGGAAGACCAAGTAGAAGGCACATAGGGTTTTACTCTATTGGAACAATATTTCATGTTTTAAGTGTTCATTAATGTCCCCGCCAAATAAACAAATAATTACAAATATAAAAAGACGCCTTAATGTGGGCAAAACTCACCGTAATGATGGATTTTCATATATGTTTATTGACCATTTCATAGTTTGATAATGCCTTTCACGTGTATCTCTTGAATCGTGCATTTTTGTATTATTGTTAGAAATGATGAAGTGTATTAGACTAGATTAAAGAGAAAGAAAATGCGTGCACCTATGATGTAATCTAGTAGCGTGAATAACTAAGGAGAAATATATCGCTTTTTAGATGAGTTATTATGCAGGTGTCTAAATTATTTAATGACTTATTATCTTGGCGGATTGTAATTGCTGCGGCTATCTAAAATAACTTAAATAAAATGATATAATTTGTGACTTTAAAATGAGAATTGATCTGAGAATGTTGAGTTTTTTTGTCTTGCTTTGCTGGATTTATGAACCTTTTAAAACCATGAAACATTAAAGCAGGGCTGTCAAACTCAAATACACAGTGGGCCAAAATTAAAAAATGGGTACTAGTGGAGGGCCGGACTGGTTCAATGTTTATTACAAAACGTATTGAAATGAACTTATTGCACATATTAAACCTGGAACTAACTAAGCTTAAATTATTGCCTATAAAAACAACATTAAACATTAAATAATCAGTTGCATTCATTTCTTATGGCTCTATCTGCAGTGTCATTTCTTATGATCACATTTTTCCACAGACCAACAACAGCTTCAACAAAACTATTTCCCTCAAAGAACAAACCAAACATGCCCTGTTGCCGTGAGAAAGAAGTGCAGAAGGAAACATCCATTAAACTCAGTGTGCTGCTCTGTGAAGCTAGTTCAGATACTTGGCATCTCATCTTGGGTGCAGGTTCATCAATGTTTGGGCTAAGGCTCTGAGCTGAGGAGACCCTCAGGATGGAGTGAAGGTGTGCAATATACCGGCGGGCCAGATCTAATAGTAATTAGAAATGATACTGCGGGCCGAAATGAAATCCACCAAGGGCCGGATTTGGCCCCCGGGCCTCGAGTTTGACACATGAAACATTAAAGGATACAGCGTAAAAAAAAAAGAAGAAAGATTTATCAGGAGTTCTGTTCTCAGATATGTTTACAGCGAAGCACCTTTACATGCATTATTGAAAGCGTTAATTTAATGCAAACGAGCCCAACATATGCTGGAGTTTTCCCACTGACATTTGTTTCAGGTTTTTACTGCGCAAGAGAAAAGAAAGCGTTTTTAATTCAACAGAACGAGAGAGGAAGGAAGTCGAGAGCTCGCTCGGTGGTTAGGGATCTCGTGTTTTTCATCTCACACAGAAGCAGTGTGTGGTATCTCAAACCTGGAAATGTTCCACATCGTGAAGCACTGCATTAAATCTCTTCTCAAATACTTTTGTCTTGACTTTCATTTTCTTTTTTTGCAATTTTTACCCCTTAGGTTCAACACTCAGAATGAAGACGATCGTTTGCTTTGGGATCGGTGAGTGAAAATACTACTAAAAACTCTTTATAAATGATCCATTAAAATAAGGTAGCAAGTGAATACGTCATATCCTAAATACACCTAATTGTTGGGGACTTTTAAAGAAGTGTCTTTCTGAAATGTGTTATTTTCCCTTTGTTATATATCTCTGCTTATAATATATTTCAAACCAATGTTTCGACTCATACAAATAATGTTTTGGGACCATTTACTAGTTTTAAGTAGTATTTGGTTTGTGAGGTGTTTTTCAGTTTGTAATATAATACGTGAACTCAATCTTATTCTAGAACATTTTGTAATATATATTGTAATGACTTTGTGTTCAGTATCCGGGCCCCTGTTTCCGGGTTTGTGCCATCTCTCACATCTCCATTTTATCTTTTGTACTCGTGTTTTCAAACTTTTTGGTAAAAGACTGAATTTAATTGAAGGCAACGTATTTAAAATGTGCCTATTTATTTACAAGACACTTTTAATATATGTTTAAAAAATGTGTTTCACTTCCTTAACCTGATAAATGATCCACCATGCAGTCTCCAAAGCAAGGCAAGGCCAGTTTATTTATACAGCACCTTTCAACACAAGGCAATTCAAATGAAAGACATCAAGAGCCTTAAGAAACATATTATGAAATGACATTTAAAAACACATTTAAAAGCAAAGATAATAAAACATGAATACAAGTTACAGTGTTAAAAGCAGCGGCAAAAAGACAAGTCATCAGCCTGGATTTAAAAGTAGTCAGAGCGGACCTGCAGGTTTCTGGGAGTTTGGTCCAGATATTTGGAGCATCATAATAACTAAACGCTGCTTCTCCAAGTAGTAGATAATATAACAAACTACCCCCAGTTTTGTCTTATTACACACATGTGGTGGTGTGTGAGTGTTCATCAGCCTGAGTGTGTGTGAGTGTTCATCAGCCTGAGTGTGTGTGAGTGTACATCAGCCTGAGTGTGTGTGAGTGTTCATCAGCCTGAGTGTGTGAGTGTACATCAGCCTGAGTGTGTGAGTGTACATCAGCCTGAGTGTGTGTGAGTGTACATCAGCCTGAGTGTGTGTGAGTGTACATCAGACTGAGTGTGTGTCGCTCTCTCTGCAGTGCTGTGTGTGTGTGTGTACATCAGACTGAGTGTGTGTGTGTGTGTGTGTGTGAACATCAGACTGAGTGTGTGTGTGTGTGTGTGTGTGTGTGTGTGTGTGTGTGTGTGTGTGTGTGTGTGTGTGTGTGTGTGTGTGTGTGTGTGTGTGTACCTCAGACTGAGTGTGTGTTCTCTCTGCAGTGCTGTGTTCGCTCTGCGCTGCAGGTGAAGTGTTGGTCGGGAAGCTGGGTGAGAAGGTCATCCTGCAGTGCGGGATGACCTCCTTCAAGTCGTACGTGGAGTGGCATCACGGCACGGACATGATCTTTAACAAACCTAAGAAGACACCGCAATTCAAGCGCAAAGGTACAAACACACAGACTGTTTTAAAACATCCAAACAGTTGGTTAGACTTTATCTTCAGCCGGTGGGGAAATGTATTGTAGTACATGTACTCAAGTAGTGTATTTAAGTACAATTATGATGTACTTTAATGAAGTATTTTTGATGTTCTGCTACTTTATAATTCATGTTGCATTTATTTGATTTATAAAAATAAAAGATACAATAAAACTTTCCGTAAATTCACAAGCTACCCATAAATATTTAAAGTATTTAAAATGAGGTCTGCCTGAACCAGCAGTGACATTAAAGTGATGTGATGTTAACATTATTGCATTAATAATCCAAAACGTTTTGAAATAGATCATTCTGCACAGTGACACTTTTTGGTACTTTAAGTTTAATTCAATGATAATACTTTAGTACTTTTACTTCAGTAAGATTATCAATATAGTACTTAAGAATAATACTTTATTTGCCACTATATGTTGTTTTTTAAATGTTGTTGTTGCTGATTTAATGTATTTCCTGATCAGGCAACAATGCTATAGCGTTGAGATCGAAGGATTACAGGGAAACAAACTTGCAGATCTCAGGTTTGAAGGAAGAAGACGCCGGAAAGTTCACGTGCACAGTAGACGGGATTAGTCAAGAACACACGCTGCTCATGGTCTCAGGTGAGCAGGAAGACACAATGCTTTTGCAAATACTATTCGGCATTGCATATATGTAGGAGAGTTCGCCTCTACAACCACACATTTAAATCCTATATGAAAGAATCTCATTTAAACTACTTTCCTTTAATAAAAAGTTTAAATTAAAAAAAATTGTGTTAGAAGAGAGAAGTCAAAAATAAATAATGCACAATTTATTATTAAAGGGGCCATATCCTACTGATGTTCAGGTGTATATCAGTATGTAGTGTCTCTACTTTAAAGAGTCCTCTCCTGCTGATGTTCTGGTGTATATCAGTATGTAGTGTCTCTACTTTAAAGAGTCCTCTCCTGATGATGTTCAGGTGTATATCAGTATGTAGTGTCTCTACTTTAAAGAGTCCTCTCCTGCTGATGTTCAGGTGTATATCAGTATGTAGTGTCTCTACTTTAAAGAGTTCTCGCCTGCTGATGTTCAGGTGTATATCAGTATGTAGTGTCTCTACTTTAAAGAGTCCTCTCCTGATGATGTTCAGGTGTATATCAGTATGTAGTGTCTCTACTTTAAAGAGTCCTCTCCTGCTGATGTTCAGGTGTATATCAGTATGTAGTGTCTCTACTTTAAAGAGTTCTCGCCTGCTGATGTTCAGGTGTATATCAGTATGTAGTGTCTCTACTTTAAAGAGTCCTCTCCTGCTGATGTTCAGGTGTATATCAGTATGTAGTGTCTCTACTTTAAAGAGTCCTCTCCTGCTGATGTTCAGGTGTATATCAGTATGTAGTGTCTCTACTTTAAAGAGTTCTCGCCTGCTGATGTTCTGGTGTATATCAGTATGTAGTGTCTCTACTTTAAAGAGTCCTCTCCTGATGATGTTCAGGTGTATATCAGTATGTAGTGTCTCTACTTTAAAGAGTCCTCTCCTGATGATGTTCAGGTGTATATCAGTATGTAGTGTCTCTACTTTAAAGAGTTCTCGCCTGCTGATGTTCAGGTGTATATCAGTATGTAGTGTCTCTACTTTAAAGAGTTCTCTCCTGCTGATGTTCAGGTGTATATCAGTATGTAGTGTCTCTACTTTAAAGAGTCCTCTCCTGATGATGTTCAGGTGTATATCAGTATGTAGTGTCTCTACTTTAAAGAGTCCTCTCCTGATGATGTTCAGGTGTATATCAGTATGTAGTGTCTCTACTTTAAAGAGTTCTCGCCTGCTGATGTTCTGGTGTATATCAGTATGTAGTGTCTCTACTTTAAAGAGTTCTCGCCTGCTGATGTTCAGGTGTATATCAGTATGTAGTGTCTCTACTTTAAAGAGTCCTCTCCTGATGATGTTCTGGTGTATATCAGTATGTAGTGTCTCTACTTTAAAGAGTCCTCTCCTGCTGATGTTCAGGTGTATATCAGTATGTAGTGTCTCTACTTTAAAGAGTCCTCTCCTGCTGATGTTCAGGTGTATATCAGTATGTAGTGTCTCTACTTTAAAGAGTTCTCGCCTGCTGATGTTCAGGTGTATATCAGTATGTAGTGTCTCTACTTTAAAGAGTCCTCTCCTGCTGATGTTCAGGTGTATATCAGTATGTAGTGTCTCTACTTTAAAGAGTTCTCGCCTGCTGATGTTCAGGTGTATATCAGTATGTAGTGTCTCTACTTTAAAGAGTCCTCTCCTGATGATGTTCAGGTGTATATCAGTATGTAGTGTCTCTACTTTAAAGAGTCCTCTCCTGCTGATGTTCAGGTGTATATCAGTATGTAGTGTCTCTACTTTAAAGAGTTCTCGCCTGCTCATGTTCAGGTGTATATCAGTATGTAGTGTCTCTACTTTAAAGAGTCCTCTCCTGATGATGTTCAGGTGTATATCAGTATGTAGTGTCTCTACTTTAAAGAGTCCTCTCCTGCTGATGTTCAGGTGTATATCAGTGTGTAGTGTCTCTACTTTAAAGAGTCCTCTCCTGCTGATGTTCAGGTGTATATCAGTATGTAGTGTCTCTACTTTAAAGAGTCCTCTCCTGCTGATGTTCAGGTGTATATCAGTATGTAGTGTCTCTACTTTAAAGAGTCCTCTCCTGCTGATGTTCAGGTGTATATCAGTATGGAGTGTCTCTACTTTAAAGAGTCCTCTCCTGCTGATGTTCAGGTCTATATCAGTATGTAGTGTCTCTACTTTAAAGAGTCCTCTCCTGCTGATGTTCAGGTGTATATCAGAATGTAGTGTCTCTACTTTAAAGAGTCCTCTCCTGCTGATGTTCAGGTGTATATCAGTATGGAGTGTCTCTACTTTAAAGAGTCCTCTCCTGCTGATGTTCAGGTCTATATCAGTATGTAGTGTCTCTACTTTAAAGAGTCCTCTCCTGCTGATGTTCAGGTGTATATCAGAATGTAGTGTCTCTACTGGGACATGTCTCCATGCTTTAATGTTCAAAAGCTCTTTAATTTTCTCATACTGCCTGTGCTGCAGCACCTCTTTTCACCCTCTGTCTGAAACCAGAGATCAGTCTGCTCTGATTTGAGCCTTTCAGACCATTTACATGCACACAAACCTAAAGAACACACTGAGGAAAGGGAGTGTAACAATGTCGCAGAAGTGCATACACATATGAACCTAAAATATTATATGTCCTCTTTAAAATGACCTCTGCCTTTACCCCTTTTAAAATTGAAGTGGGGCACATTATTGCATTATTAATTAATATTCAATAACATAATAATGCGTAATGAATAGACTGCTTTAACTTATCCTCCATAGGTCACACATGTTTTCACAGCACATGTTTGCTTCACTGTCATGTCATAAGGGTTTGGGAAGCATGTGGGCTTTGGGTAATTGTATAAAAGGTGCTTGATAAATAAGGTTGGGTGAACTTTGGGATGTTAGCCTTTGCAGACCATTGACATGCACACAAACCTATAGAACACACTGGAGGAAAGGGAAGACCTCAAATAGCACAATGAGAAAAATAAAGCACTTTTTGAATATTAAAATAGTGTCAAAGTCAACTTTAATGTCAATCTTTCAGTTTGTGTGTACAGACAGAGATCGAAATGACGTTTCCAACAATCCCGAATACAATTATACAATATACAGATATGTATACAAATATGTATAAAATATGTATATCCTAACAGACATATTTACACATATGCACACATTAAGATAAAAAATACAACAATCAATATATAAAATAACAGTCACTTCAATATCAAGTGGCACAGAATACAACTATGAACCTAAACAATTAGCATAATATGTCCACTTTAAAATTACCTCTGCCTTTACCCCCTTTAAAATGTAAGTTATTTAAACATTATTGCATTAATAATTACAAGTTACACATTTTGATGTTGCTTTACTGATTTGATTTATTTCGAATGTGTAAAACAATAATACAAAAATGTAACATGATAATTATAATACAATACAAAATTAAGCAGTGTCAAATTCATATACAAAAATATTACTGATTATAAATTATGTAAAAACAAATAATCTACTTAATTACACATCCGAAAAGGGGTGGGATGAAGTTTACACTTATTCAATCCCACCCCTTCTCCCAAAAACAAAATTATTAACACATATATATATATATATACATACATACGTATATATATATATACATACATATGTATATATATACATACATACGTATATATATATACATACATATGTATATATATACATACATACGTATATATATATACATATGTATATGTATGTATATATATGTATATATATATACATATGTATGTATATATATACGTATATGTATGTATATGTATATGTATATATATATGTATGTATATATATACACATATGTATATATATGTATATATACGTATATACATATGTATATATACATACATATATATATACATATATATATATACATATACATACATATACATATACGTATATATATACATACATATGTATATATATATACATACATATACGTATATATACATACATATACATATGTATATATATATACATACATATATATATACATATATATACATACATATATATGTATATATACATACATATATATGTATATATACATATATATACATATGTGTATATATATACATACATATATGTGTATATATATACATACATATATATACATATGTATATATATACATATATATGTATACATGTATATATACATACATATTATATGTATGTATATATACATATATATACATATGTATATATATATGTATGTATATATATATACACATATGTATATATATATATGTATATATACATACATATATATACATATGTGTATATATATATTATATATATACACATATGTATATATATGTATGTATATATACATATATATATATATATTTTCACTGTCGTGTCATAAGGGTATGTGAAGCATGTGTGCCTGGTAATTGTATAAAAAGTTCTTGATAAATAAGGTTGAGTTAATGATGTCGTAATTCTCCCTGTATCTCTCCATCAGTCTCAGCCGACCCCCCCGGTGAGCTGCAGGTGGGAGAAAAGGCTTCGCTGCAGTGTGGGGTCAGAGGTCACGACTCGGCGGCGCAGCAGTGGACGAGTCCAAACGGACAAAAACACCCAGAAACCGTTCGTATTGAGTCTGTTGCCCCCTCTGACGCTGGGACCTGGGAGTGTGTGTTCTCTCATGAAGGGAAGGAGTACAAGGAGAGACTTGTCATCAAAGTTAAAGGTGGGTCACTGACAGAGATGGGAAAAGTACACACATCCTTTACTCAAGTAGAAGTACAGATACTCGTGTTTAAAAATACTCTGGTAAAAGTAGAAGTACTGACTAAACTTCTTTACTCAAGTAAAAGTAAAGAGGCTTTGAAATGTACTTCAGTAAAAAGTACCCATATCTAGCAGCTGCTTTAAAGAGTACCTGACCTCCCTTTATATTAATAGAACAATAATGTCATTGTTAGCTAATGAATGTTTTCATGCTGAACAACGGCAACATGACAACGTTTCCATTGGTCCCTCTTCTTTAGAGAAGACCAGGAAATGATGGATACACGGATCGTGTTCAAATCAATAGGCACGCAATGACTCTAAAGAATAATGATCACGCACCAAACACACATTCAGACTAAAGGAACCAGCTGTTTGGAAAATGAGAGAAGTAGAAAGTACAGGTATTTGAGTTCAACATGTAAGAAGTAGAAAGTACAGGTATTAGTGTTCAACATGTGAGAAGTAGAAAGTACAGGTATTTGAGTTCAACATGTAAGAAGTAGAAAGTACAGGTATTTGAGTTCAACATGTAAGAAGTAGAAAGTACAGGTATTTGGGTTCAACATGTAAGAAGTAGAAAGTTCAGGTATTTGTGTTCAACATGTAAGAAGTAGAAAGTACAGGTATTTGTGTTCAACATGTAAGAAGTAGAAAGTACAGGTATTTGTGTTCAACATGTAAGAAGTAGAAAGTACAGGTATTTGAGTTCAACATGTAAGAAGTAGAAAGTACAGGTATTTGTGTTCAACATGTAAGAAGTAGAAAGTACAGGTATTTGGGTTCAACATGTAAGAAGTAGAAAGTACAGGTATTTGGGTTCAACATGTAAGAAGTAGAAAGTACAGGTATTTGTGTTCAACATGTAAGAAGTAGAAAGTACAGGTATTTGTGTTCAACATGTAAGAAGTAGAAAGTACAGATATTTGAGTTCAACATGTAAGAAGTAGAAAGTACAGGTATTTGAGTTCAACATGTAAGAAGTAGAAAGTACAGGTATTTGAGTTCAACATGTAAGAAGTAGAAAGTACAGGTATTTGTGTTCAACATGTAAGAAGTAGAAAGTACAGGTATTTGTGTTCAACATGTAAGAAGTAGAAAGTACAGGTATTAGTGTTCAACATGTAAGAAGTAGAAAGTACAGGTATTTGTGTTCAACATGTAAGAAGTAGAAAGTACAGGTATTTGGGTTCAACATGTGAGAAGTAGAAAGTACAGATATTTGTGTTCAACATGTGAGAAGTAGAAAGTGCAGGTATTTGTGTTCAACATGTGAGAAGTAGAAAGTACAGATACTTGTGTTAAAAATTTAAGAAGTAAAAGTTAAAAGTCGTCAGAAAAAGAAGTAGTGGAGTAAAGTACTGAAACCAGAAACATGTACTTAAGAACAGTAACGAAGTATTTGTACTCCACTTCTTCCCACCTCTGGTCACTGGCTGTGTCACCTCTGTGTGGTTTTAACCAACCAAACACTGGGAGAAACGTGCTGTTTCTTTGCTTTCAGAGCCTGAAGCAGCTGCTTCTACCCAGAAACCTGAGTCAACTCCCATCCACGGTAAACTTTCTTGTCTAAAAGCACACACATTAACCAAAGTTGTTCTTCACGGCCTCGTTGACTGTGTTAGGAAGTCTCATTGAGTAATGTACTTTGGTTTTAGAGGACTAGTTAACCTGTTGAAAGTTAACGGTATTGATGGTTTCACTTCTTTGATATTAGGTGCATTCACATCGCAGTACTTTTCCCACAAAGGTTCATCAGAACTCTACTCTTCAGTTCTCATGAACTAAGTACAGATCGCGTTCACACCGGAATAAGTCCCTGGGGGAGGATTAGTCAAATGAAGCAGCTGCTTTGGGTTTACTGGCAGGCCGCAAACCACTTCACGCGTATACTGCCACCCGGAGTCCCCGGCCGAAAGTCCCCGGAGTTGGGGACTGGCTTCAGTAGAAGCTGCTGGGACTCCCAGCAGATTCTACTGAAGCCTTCCGAGTAAGTCGCCAGAACGCCGACACCTCCTCATCTCCACCGCTCCCATGTTTTATTTTGTGTTGCCATAAGTTAGTCTCTCTGCGTTTGTGCGCTGGGCTAATGCTAATGCTAATAATGCTAATGCGAGGATAATAAAATGGCGGCTTCACAAAACGTTTTTGCAGTTTTACGGGGCGTGGTTTGCAATCCGCCCAGCCAATCAGAAATAGGAACCTTTTTCTCCCACGAAAGTACCTGCTCTCTAGCAGGGACGGAGGTCCGTGTACGTTTTGTTAGTTTGATTTTTCGTTTGAACAAAAAGCCAAAAAACGAAAATACCAGCCTTTTTTCGTTTTTGATTTAAAACGGAAAAACCAAAGCCGTTTTCCCGTCTGTGTTGTCTGAATCAAAAGACGGATAACGAGAAAACCTAATAAAAAAAAGTCTGTACGTTTTGTTAGTTTGATTTAACGTTTGAACCAAAAAAACGAAAATACCAGCCTTTTTTCGTTTTAAATCAAAAACGAAAAAACGGGAAACCAAAGCCGTTTTCTGAATCAAAAAACGGATAACAAGAAGACCTAATTAAAAAAACGTTTTGGTTTTTGATAACAACTTCATTCAATTTTCGGAAAAGGGGGTAAAAAGGTTCTCATGAACTAATTTTAGTGTGAACGCGACAGTTGTGTTTGTTTGTTTTGAAAAAATTAGTGGGGATGAAGTATTATTTGGTACTATCATTTTACCCTCACTCATCCTGTTAAAAATACAATTATACAAAATAAATAAGTTTTTATAATGATATTATCATTTTATAATGACTAATAAAGAGCCAATATACTGCTAATATGCAAGTAAATTAACAACTAGTTGATGGTGAATACGTGTACCTTAATATAAAGTGTTACTCATTTCTATTACCAGGGTCTATTCCCCAATATCCACCCGGTGTTTCCCAGTCTCCCTCCGTCACCTCTCTCCTGCTGGGGCTCAGGTGGTGGGTGTGGGTCGCAGTGGGAGTGGGCTCCCTGGTTGTGTTTCTCCTGGTGGTCTTGGTCATTGTCTTGTGCAAGAGGATCAAAAGAAGGAAGGTGAGTGAACAGAATCATCCAGGGAATCCTCCGCAATAGAAACTGTGGTATTATTATGTTATCGTTTATTTGGTAGGGACAGTGCACATTAATGAACACTTAAAAGAATAAATGTGCCAAGCGTAAATATGCCGGATTTAGCTTTGAGCTACTTTCCATCCGCAGTCCCTCACATAAAACATTTAAGAAAATGACATTTACAAACATAGCAAATACAAATACATGAAATGCAAGAAAAGTGCAAGAGCAGAATACACAAGTATTTATGACATGGCCATAGAGTGCCACAGTGACGCATCCTAAAACCCGGAAGTAAGTTCCTTCCGGTTCCCTCGACAAAAACGCAATACAATTCCTCCATAAGATTTTGGAAAATAGCTGGAAATAAGGTCTGTGGTTGAAACACATTTAAGAGACGGATCACGTTTTGTTCAGTCGGATAATCTCCACATGTCTACCCAGGGCCGTCCCTTCCTACAGGCCGATCATGCAGACTGCGTGGGGCCTCACCTTGCGGAGGGGGCCTCACCTTGCGGAGGGGGCCTCAACTGAGCCGAAAATGCGGCGCACCTACTAGTGTGGCGCGGCACGGTTTTGTCGCTGCGAGACTCCACTAGCACCCCCCGCCCCCGTCGACGCTCGCGAAACAGAGGGCCTCATTATATAACTTTGCGTGGGGCCTCATGTTGGCCAACCCTAACCGGCGCTGTGTCTGCCCTACTTTTATCATTTTCTAATCGTAAATCTAGTCGCCAGAAGCTAAATGCTAACGTTATCCTATAAACGTACTACAGCTGAGTACAGCAGCACGACTTCAACGTCACGCCAACTTAAGATCCATATTCAAACATACAGATTCAAAATGGTACAAGTTGAAGCGTTTGTTTGAACAGTTTGCAGGAGGCAGGCACTTGCTTTCAAGCAGAACACGGGGGAAAAACAAACTTAGCGGGAGTGTTTACGTGTAATGACGTACAACGGCCTCGACAACTTCTGGTTGTAGAACAAAATGTGATCCGTCTCTTAAATGTGTCTCAACCACAGACATTATGTCCAGCTATTTTCCTAAATCCTCTGGAGAAATCCCATTGCTTTTTTGTCGAGGGAACAGGAAGTGGTAAAATGCTAACTCACTTCCGGGTTTTAGGACGCGTCACTCACCACTCAATACAATATAGCAGCATCGATACATCAAGTGCAAGAGAGGAGATACCCCTGTGTTAAAGTGCATTTAGCGGTGATCGCACGTCTGTTTGGTTCTCAACCATTCTTTGGGTTGACCTTTGAAGCTATTGAGAGTGGGACAATCCCGTATCTCAGTTGGGAGGCTATTCCACAAAGAGCTGCCTTTAATGGAGAGGACATTTTGTCCGAAAGTGGTCCGTCTGCGGTGGACTTCACAGTCTTTTTAAAGGTGTTTCAATTGTAACCTTTAAGAAATACACTCCTGAATTCTTGATGAAATTGTGTTTTGAGGTTTAGGATAAAGTGTTTTTTAATACGGATAGATAAGTATGTCACGGGGGTGATCTCTGGGCTCATAGATCTCGGCCTCCGTTACGGGTTGTTTAGTTTTTTGTTCTTGAAAAGTGTTCCCCTTTCCCCATGTCTGTCGTTGATTGTGTGCACCTGGTGCCCTGTGTTGTCTCCTCCCCCCTCACCTGTGTCCTGTTGGGTTGGGCATTTAGGCTCTGGGGTTTTGCTGTTAGAGAGGCAGGTGGTAGGCTTGTTTGAGACAAGCGAGACCTGCGCAGTTGCGATCAACGTCTTGCTAGTGCGTTGCATGATGGTTAGTCATTTTGTCCGACTTGCTCTGGAGGCTCGCCTACATGAGACGTTGAAATCTCGCGGGACAAAGACGCCCGCAGCCTTGAGAACGAGGCACGGCGCGGCGGCGCAGTTCCTCTCCACGGGCTGCGGAAGCGAAATGCTTGATGGGAAACGACTCGCTGGTATCTCGAGCTGAGCGCTCATTGGTGGTTTTTACCACGTGCTGCTGATGAAACTCTCCAATTGGCTCGGCAAAAGTTTGTTGTTTTGTGTCAGTTTTACGTCACCACATCCATTCCCATTTTTCATCATTGTTCCACAATGTTTATCATCATGAAATTAATATCCATATATTTTATACTATACTTGCACTGCTTACCGTTTTCATACTTTATATATCTTAGCATATTCATACACACTGTTCATACTGCTCTCAGGCTGCTGTGTATATCTAGTGTATTCATACCCCTCACTGTTTATTCATCATTCAATTCATTCTATATTTTATTCTGTCTATTGTGTACATTACTTTTCACTTCACTGCTTGTTGCACTCCTGGTTAGAAGCTAAACTGCATTTCGTTGTCTCAGTACCTGTAATATGTGCAATAACAATAAAGTTGAATCTAATCTTGAGCAGGAACAAATGTATTTACTTAGTACATATCTGACATATCCGATTAAACACGTGTGCATTCTTTATAAATGCAAACCAAGTCAAACCGACTCCGGAGGTGGCGGTATGCACCTTCAAGTTGTTTGCAATCCGCCAAAAAACCGAGAGAAGAAGAAGACGAAGCCGACTCCGAGCTTTTCGACTTCAGGCCAGCTTTTTGAGACCTCTCCCGGCTGCGATCGGCTATTCTCGCCTACTTTCGAGGCGAGCCGCAACGCGTCTCAAACAAGCCTAGTGTGTGTGAGATCCTGGTGGCTGCAGGCTGTGCCCACGTGAACAACAGCAGCAGGATTGAGGCTGTGTGTATTGTGTTCATGCTGTAATAAATGCCCACACCGGGTTATATTTGGGACGTGCTGCCTCTGCCTCCTTGCTTGGTCTGGGCCGCTCAATTGTCAGCTTCACAAAGTAACCTGGGGTTATAGGTCACCCTCTTCCTGAAACCCCCCTCACTGTATGTCTTTGTGTTTTAGTGTTTTACAGCCTGGTCCAGAGGGGGTTTTATGACATGCATCTGGTTTATAGTCACTCTCTTAAAACAACCACTCACTTATTATTAGAAGGAGCCATGTTTACAAGCATTACAGATCTTTAAGAGCACTTTATTTTAAGGTACACATATTCACCATCAACTAGTTGTTAATTAACATGCATATTAGCAGTTTATTGGCTCTTTATTAGTCATTATAAAACACATATTAATGCCTTATTCTACATGACCATATTCTACAAGTACTAGGCCATTAGTTGAGAGTTTTTCCTCAATAACCCTCTATTAAGTGCTTATTTATTGTAAGTAAGGACATTGTTGTACATGAGTTTGGGTCTTAATATGAGCCTAATAAGGCACTCTCTCATAACACCTAACAAATATGGTCTATTCTTATTCTTACAAGACATGAAACTACAAGTGTTAATTGTGTCAAAATAACTCAAAATGTGGTATTTCTATCTCAGAATATGTTCCCTATTTTAAAGTGAAGTCTTGTTCAAAACCAATAATCTAGTAGTTTGACTCTAATATGTTAACTAGTTGATGGTGAATATGTGTTCCTTAATCTAAAGTGTACAAATATTGTGCATGTATTGCCTTACTCGTCGCTCTCTAGACACAATAAGTCCTCAGGTGCGTCTTTGTAGATTGAAATCATTCGGTGGGATGAAGGCGGATGTATTACAGAGACAAACAACATCAATTAAAATGTGATTTTCCTTTTTTTCCCCGCTGCAGAGAAGATATCTAAAGATGAAAATGGGCCGCCTGCCACTGCAGCCCAAGCAGTACTGCCAGTGTGAGCGGTAAATGTTCCTAACTTCTATCTACAGTCAAAAATACTTTATCGCCCCCCCCCCCCCTCTCTCTCCAGTAATCTCTGTTCCCTCTGCAGATTCTTTCTAATAGACTCTATTCACTTTACATTAATGACTGTTTGACCTTCCTTTTCTCTGTGCCTTTCTCACCAAGATTCTCACCATTATTGTGTCGTAATTAGTGTGCAAACTTCTCCTCTTTCCTCTCTTTATCGCAGGCCAGCAGCTGCAGAAAAACCGCGGCAAGGACGTCGGAGAGAGAAGCCGAAAGCCCCCCTCCCGCAGCTAATGTAGAGACATGAAAGACAGATTGGCGAGGAAGAAGCGAGAGCAAGGGGAAGAAGAGAGCGTCAAAGTGTGAATACGGCATGAATGTAAATGGGCTTTTGAATGCTCGAGATGAAAATAAAAATGTAATGATATGGCCACTCACTTTGAGCCTTCTTCACCAAATATAACCAGTGAAGTGAATGCAAATGACTCCTCCACCGCAGGGGGAACAGCAGCTTGTTTTGGACTCTTAAACAGCACATTCACGTGTTGAATAATGTGCTTGAAAGCACTTTTTATTGTAAAAGTCATGCAGCTTTCTTGTGTTTCTGTGTATTTGATTAATCCTGTTTGTCTTTGCTTCTGTAGTTTGTAAATAAAAAGATTAGATGTCAAGGTTCAAGGCTTTTATTGTCATGTGTGCATAGCTACAGTGTAGTTGTGACAATGAAAATCTTAGGTCACAGGCTCCTCCAACAGTGCAACACAATACAACTGATAATAGTGCAAGTAAATACAATGAAATAGAATATAATAGAAATTGTGCAGTATAGTCTATATACAAGTAATTGAATATTGATATTTCAGTCTGACAACTCACGTGTTTCTTAATGTTTATTAGAAGCAGCATATAGTTTGAGTTTGACGTCAAGGCTCGGGCCTCATCACTCCACAGATTTACAAAGAACATGAGTGATGATCAGATAACTATCACCCGAGCCTACAGGTGGAAGCTGGGGTGGGAGCTGGGGTGGAGCTGGGGTGGTGGGGGGGCAGGCGAGCAACAGGAAACACAGGAGCAGGAACGTAGCAATAGCAAGTGAACACAGCAGTGGCAGCATAGCGAGGCAGAGGCAGGAAGACCTGGCAGCTTAAATAGAGGGACGAGGTGCGTCACGTGTTAATGTATCATTGGTGCTCGAGTTGACTGCCTGAACTAGCTCGCAGGCTTCGCCCCATTTATAAGTGGCAAACAGATTAATGTTATGGATGTTCTTTCAAAAGTTCAGGTGTTTAACAATCTTAATTCAAGTGTAGGAGGATTTCTATTATCAATGAGATAAAATCACAAAGCGGTGAATGTGCATGTTGTCCCGTGAATCCCATTTAAAACAATGTGAGTAATGCAGACTCTGCCAGTAACAACACAACCTACTGTAAAAGGCTTTAAAGTAAAACAAATGTCAGGGTTATACCGTCTTCAACATAACATCAAACATTATCTTAACTTATTTAATCTCTTTTAATATGCTTTACAGTATGTTTGCATTGCTTGGGAAGCTCTGAATTCCCCACAACTGGTGCAGTAAATGCAGCTGTCGACACCAAGTAGTGTAACGTAGCAAACACCTGTCTCACCACCAACGACATACATACTGTAGGCTATATGTATATATTGGTATATAATCAGGAGTAAAAACAATAGATTGTTAGGGAACTCTGCATTTTGTAACACAAACCTACATTTTCCTTTCTCCATCTACATCAATAGTTTAGGTGAAAATGTCGAAGGAGCAACCTTACATTTTTATGCGGATGATACCGTGATGTACTGTGCAGGTCCCTCCATTAACGAGGCTGGTGTTAAATTACAGGCTGTTTTTAACATTATTCAGACTCAGCTCTCTGAACTAAAGCTTCTTTTAAATGTGGATAAAACCAAGGTAATGCTCTTTTCTAAAGCTAAAAAGACACCAGAGCCTGTTTTAGATATTGTAACTATACGCAAGGAATAAAACTTGAAGTGGTTACCTGTTACAAATACCTTGGTATCTGGCTTGATGATTGTCTCACTTTTAAACTTCATGTAAATAACCTGCTTAAAAAGCTGAGGGTTAGGCTAGGTTTCTTCTACAGGAACAAGTCCTGTTTCTCGCTTGAGGCCAGGAAAAGGCTCTTCACTGTGACCTTTTTACCTGTGCTGGACTATGGTGATTTGATGTATATGAATGCACCTGCCAATTGCCTGGTCAAGTTAGATGCTGCGTATCACAGTGCACTGAGATTTGTGACAAACTGTAAAGCATTAACCCATCACTGTACCCTGTATGCAAGGGCTGGTTTGCTTTCACTAACTGTACGGAGGCTCAGTCACTGGTACATTTTTATATACAAAGCCATGTTAGGGAAACTTCCATCTTATATCTGCTCCCTGATCTCACGGTGAATTGTAAGTGGCTACTGCCTGAGATCGAATGCTGTGGTTTTATTAAATGTGCCAACTGCTAGGACTGTCTTAGGGAAGACAGCTTTTAGATGCGCAGCTCCTCTGTCTTGTAATAGTCTGCAACTGAAATGGAAACTGAGCAATCTGGTGCCACTAAATGTTTTTAAAGCTCGGTTGGATGCTACTCAATCGGAAGCTGTTGGTACCTGTTCATGTGGATAGTTATTGTAAATTGTAAATCCCTGTAATGATGCTGTAAAAGGTACTTTTGTTGTTCTGTTTATGTTTTTATGTTTCATGTGGAACCTACCTGAGCAGGTCTCCCTTGAAAAAGAGATCAATGATCTCAATGGGATTCACCTGGATAAATAAAGGTTTGAAATTAAATGAAACATAATACATATTGTATATATATTTGTCTTTATAGTGTGTGCAACAAGGTAAGGAGTCATTGTCTTTACTGTAGATTCCTGATTTAAGAAAATTGTCCAATAAAGCATATTGACTTTATGTGTGTGTGTGCGTGAATAAAATGCCAACGAAAAAAAATCGACAGTCTGTTGGAGGAGCAATGGAGAGGGCATCTGGTGTGTGTGTGTGTGTGTGTGTGTGTGTGTGTGTGTGTGTGTGTGAGAGAGAGAGATAGAGAGAGTAAACTAATCTTGTAATGTAAATGTAATCCATTTTGTACATTACAAAAAAGGATGGGATCATAGTGGTGTCTGACTTCCTGTGTGTGCGCGTGCGTATGTGTGCGTGCGTGTGTGTGTGTGCGCATGTGTGTGTATGTGTGTGTGAGAGAGACGGGGAGAGAAAAAGCCACCTGCAGTGAGTACAAAATGTCAGAGCTGAACTCATCGCTGCAGTGAGAACATCACATGTGAGTACTCCTAGACAAACAACTACTAAACTACTATAACCTCTAACTTGTTAAGAAGCTGAATTGAGGGACATTTTTTAAAAGAAGGGAGACGCATTAATCAGGATATGAAAATGTCTGTCTGTCTTCGAGGGTCATAATAATTTCTACGAATACTGATAAAAGCAGTTTTAGACAGCGGAGGAATATAAAAATATCACTGAGGAAAGAGATGGAGCACTCAAACCTGGACTGTTTTGGGCTTTCATTTGAAAACTCTTCGTCTCATTATCCACACACTGCTTGTTTTGTCTTGGCCTTGGTTTGCTTTCATCTGTCTTGTTTGTATTTTCGCCGCAAATAATGTCAAATAATGCCAAAAATACGACGAGCCAGAATATCTCCCATGCTCTGGAAGAAAGCCCGGGGATGTTTGTTTGATAGAAACACAGATGGGATGGACTTCGTCAAACAATGCAGGATGAGAAGTCATTTCAATGTATCAGCGTTGATGTACGGACTTCACCTTTATGGAGGTTTTACTGTATTCTTTGTGTTTTGCAACCACCCTGAGAAGGATTTCAAAATCTTAAATCATTCCTGCCAAAAATAGAAGTCTCTGTGACTCAGTTTTTTGAAGTATGAAGATGTTAACTTGTGCAATACCTGCAGCAACTTGTCATTTGGCAATCAATGGGCTGCTAGATAAGCAAGTGGAACACAAACGTATTCTAATGGAAGAAGTTTCTGGAAATATGATAAGTATTAAACCAAAGATTGTGAAACTTCTGGTTCCTGTTAGCTGTCAGGGTCTGTTGGCGCTAAGCGGTGCAGATTAGTGGCCTGCTATTACAAATCTGTCATTTAAAGAATACGGAAACATTGGGAACAACAATATTATCACCATTAGAGTAATTATATTTGTTGTAATTTATGTATTCTGATCATGAAAAACATTCAAACGTCCTGAAAGAGAAAACCATACGATAGCTTGTTTTGTTTATTTTAGTTAAGGCCTTAATAGTGTCTATTAATGAAAGAATAACAGTTTACTTTACCATAAACACAACACGCGCATGTCGCAGTCCACATACCTAATGTGGTATACAGTAAAGCGTATATGAACATAAATTAACTCGAATCAATCAATCAAATTGTCAAAATACGAATCAGCCGTGGCAGCTTAACGCAGGAGTTACATAGCTAGTATTACAAAAACAAAATGTCTGTTTTTATTAAGTCTAATGAAACATTTAGAGTCCATGTTTGGTTGGTGTTTTGCTTAATTGTGTCATGTCAAGTTTGTCAACTAATCGTGATTAAAAGTAATTTGTTAATTAGCAATATGGGATTTTAAGAAACAACTTTGCGCACTGATAATGTTAATCAGTCCCAAATGTTTCGAGCGACCTGAAAGCCTAAGAACAGTTGGTGCCAACAGTCTGGATATTATTCACATGTGACCCTAAATAAGGAAATGTTAAACATTATAATACAGAGCCGTTAATTATTCCTCAACAAAATGTCTGGTTACATAATTGAGGTAAATATTAAACGGTTATACGTCGACGCGCGGTTCAAGACACACGGTCAGTTGAACTTGTGCTGATAAACTCACTCGCTCCCGTTTTGCACATTTTAACGTTATGTATGTTCCTTTGTGCAACTAAAGATTGGACCTTAACCATGTGCGTTTAACTTCTATTCCTACGCTGACATGTTTCTTGTAAATCAACCGTGAAGTCTTAGTAGAAGGAAAGACATATTTTAGTTGTGTTTCTCTTTGTTCCTGCACATTTTATTGGAATTGTAAAATGAAAATGAGCTTTAATTCGTGTTCAAATTAACTCTTTCCTGACACTTATAGTTGTGGTAGGCTAACGATTACAGTCTGTGACCAACAAATACTAGCAGACACTTCTTCCCTTCAGTCCTGTACTGAAGCCATCGGTATAATCGTACTCGTTCTGTCAATAACTATTACCACGTCTAGTCATAAAACATAAAAACTTTGTATTACAGACGTTGAAATGTAGCAGACACAGTTTGCCTGACAACATCTCCGAACACTGAGGAGGCTTAATATCTGTGTTGTATTTGAACCCCAGTGAGCTGGAGCCATAATGACCGACTTCTCCTGATAGACTAAGAAATAAGAAGTCCCGTACTTCTCTCACTGTCAACACTCAATGACTCAATGTGTGTTTTCTGCCTCTTCTGGAGGCGACTACCAAGCTGTGTTTCCCTCACTCTGTTATATATATATATATATATATATATATAGATAGATAGATAGATCCTCTGTGTCTCTGGGGGAGTTTTCTTATGAGACAACAGGATTCCCTTTTCATGGCTATTACTCAGTTTTCAATCATCC